GCCAGGCAGAGTAATCAAACACAGATCCACAGATTTATGTTTCACTTTGGTGAAGTTTCCTTCTTCTGTAACTGTGAAAATCCTGTAAGGATGAGATGAAAATGTAACATATTTTCTACATACAGGTCAAATTAATCACTGCAATAAAATAACTGTTTTTGTCACTTTTACAGTGGATTGCATCAACTCTGGGTCGGCTGGTTGGCTCCTTTGTTGTGGCGGGGGTTCACTCTCGATGGCCTCCTCGTGCTGTCGGTGGCTGGGTGTACACTCTCGGCTGAATCTGCCTTGRTGGGGTTTGGTGGCTTCCTTGGGTTGCAGGCTGGTTTTGGGGCTGGGGGTCGGGTCTTGGGGGTTTAGATGGCTCTGGGTTGGGTAGACTGTTGGTCCCAGTTTCTGGCGGTCCTCTGGGCTCTGTTCAGCTGTGGTCTAGGGCTCCCTGGGCCTGGCGGTCTGTCCGGAGGAAGAGGTATTGTGGCTTCACTCCCTGGGTGGGTCTTGGGAAATGGGGGAGCCTACCGGGGTCAGGGGGGAGCCGACTCCCTGTGGGAGCATCCTGCTCCCCCAGTCTTTTTTTCTCCCCATCCCTCGCCACATACCCCCACCCTCTTCATTTTCAACTCCACTCATGTGGGGCTTTTGGGGTGCAGGTGTGCTACAAGGAGCAACAATTGTACATCTCTGTTTACCAACCACCTGGGCTCCAGTTTTACTGCACACCTTAGACATTCACTCATGACATCCTCATGACTTTCACATATAGGGACTCGGGGGTGGGCACTCTTATGGTAAGGAAGGGGTGGAATGGGATACTCCCACCATTGATGACTGTGCCCAATCCCAACGGGTCTCAGACTGGTCCGGGTCTCAGAACATGTTTGTATCCTAAATGTCTCTTKCTTTTGTTTTATGAAGGGTTCGTACGAACATGTCACGTCAGATCGAAACTCTTCTATCTTCAGGAAAACTGTGTAAATGAGCTGCGTAAACTGATGAACGTGCATCAGCTGCTCGTGCACGAGGAGAGGAGATTAGTATAATTACCACCCTAAAAACACCATATAAGACTACYTTTCCTGACCCACATACCAGGAAGTGTCCATTCATAAATGACATCACAAAGTAAAAAGAAGAACTTTACGAGTTCAGAGATGGAAGTTCTGCTCTCAGAGATCCAGAAAAGAAAATCTGTCATTTTAGCAGGTCAGCTGTGGAACTAAAGGAGCTGCTGAGTAATGAAATGTTCTGTTAATGTCTCCTGTGGGTCGTTACAGTCAGAGAAATAATCTAAATCATATTTAGCTCCAGGTTTCCTTTGGTCAGATATTTTTAATATAAGTACAAACAGCTGTTAGTTTTCATTTATTCAGAAGAAGAGCAGTCGCGCACTGCTACCCTGCCATTGCTTGAAGACATTTAGGGTTTGGTGAAACTGGTACCATGCAGGCCTCTGCCTCTTCTTCCCCATTTTAACTGAACAACACACATCAACAGCACTTCTGAGGGTGGGGGTGTGGGGGGGGTCTTTTTCACTCCCCCATTCCCCGACTGCCATTTGGAGATTGGGTCCAGAGGACGGGCGGACCATCTGGTCGGGCCCTGGACTGCGGGTGGGCCTGGGGCCTGGGGGGTATAGAGTATATAAGGGGAGTGTGAGTGGAATATTGTGTCCATCTTTTGTGTCTTTGAATGAGTGGGTGTGAGGATGAGGGTGGGATTGTGTGATTGGACCTCATGTAAGAACCGTTGGTACACAGATTTGTTCTTAAGTTGTGCGTACGAGTGATTTAGGAG